AACTGGGTTTCATTAAGGATATGCTTGAACAAAACTAGACGGATAATCATTTGTACCCACAGTAACATTGTGCAATCAGATAAAGTATCCGCATAGCGTACGAGAAAGTCTAAGTCAGTGTTCGAGTGTCGTGCTAAAATTAAAAATAGTGTGAAATCATTAGCAAAGTCCAGTCCAGTCATGCGTTTGTTGTACCCAAAATTTTAAGGTAACATTGGTGTAAAATGTTGTATTCGTGGATGAAAAAGTTTTTTCGACAGATAAAGATGGACGGTACTGGATGTGGAGGCCTCCCAGCATCCGATATCTAGAGGAATATGTCATTTCCGCTTTTCACAGTGGTAGAATTAATGAAGCGTATTAGGGATGGCGTAGTGGGCATGGTGTCGGTGATATACCTGAGGTTGGTCGATGTATAAACGCCCAGTGATATGTTAAAATTCTAGAGAACTTTCTTGTGAGATCAGTGGCTCCGCTCTTTTCCGGTCAGGAGGCGATACGAGTTGTGGAAGATAACAGCGCAGTTCATACAGCTCGTATCGTTCGAGACTGGTATCGCGCTCATCCCCGATTTCAACGGTTACCATCGCCCGCCCACTCTCCAGATTTAAAGATATGATCGAGAATGCATGGTCTGAAATGGTGAGAGACTGGCAACCTGGACTTGCTCGGGATGCCTATGAAGTCTATGCAACTGTAATAGCAGTTTGGGGAGACCTTACTGAGAAGCCCCAGTGTTTTAAAACATTAGCTTACTCTATACTAACACGTTTGAAAAAATTGATTAGAACTGAGAGTGGTTACATAAACTATCAAAAAAATTTCAAATATCATTGGTACAGTAAAGAATGTTTAGTGAAATGTCACATATATTTTGTAATTAAAAAATACGTAAGTTTTTCGTATACTTAATTAATAAACAGTTAAAACTGGTTTTGATATATATGTAATGAAAATTTCAATCACCGTTGCTAATGCGATAATATTTGAACTCAGAGTTTTTCCTCCTAATGTTTTTAGTGAAGCTGGGTAAGGAGCAAATCAAGGTTGAAATAGGGCATTCTTACAGTAAAATCAAATATTTCATAACAGTTATAAAAAGCAGGCTAGTCATCTTTTTCTTACTTCTAATCTGCTAATCTTGACATAAGTAGGACATTCTCTAATATTTAGTTTTAAATTAATATCTTGTGAAATGAGTAATAACATGAAATGAATGAATATTATAGCATCTAGAAGTTTCTTAAGTACAAACAATGAATTTTTGTAAAACACCATGTCATTCAGTAGTCCAGCAATAATCAAGAAGTATATTATTAGGATGGAAGTAGTTAATGTTTGAAAATGTCTAAAACTTTTTTAAACGAACTAGACAAAGCAATAATTAACCTGCGTATAATCTATTGTTTAAAGCACAATAACATTTTTTCTCTTTCTATCGATGAATCCACAAGGAGCATCGTGATGGACAAACAACAGTTGTCAAATCGCACACAAACTGGCCCTGGACGAAGATTGCTTGAATACAGTTGGATGTAAGAAACTGGTCGTTGGCTTGCACGAATGGTGGTCTTCTTAACTGATGATCTTATGATTTTTTTCTATCATTAGTATTACACAAAAACAAATGTCACATTCATTCAATGATAAGGCCATGAGAAGAGCCATCTGAGTAAAAAAGTCACTGTGTATTTGGGTGGACGGAAATTTAGGACTGCATATATATAAGGACCACTGATAATCCAATTACTTTAATATGTGATATAACCTCTTACCGTTGTTACTCTTAACTCTTCATACTGTTATTCTCATTGTATTTCTTGATCAAGCAGCTGGAAGCTATACAGTGTAAGTGTTGACACTTTTGATGGGTTGACTGTCTTTTGATGGAAAAGAAGCTTGAAAAGAAGCTTACAGGAAACTCAAATTTTCGCTTGCGTACACTACTAGACTCTCCTCTTTCTCACATTCTTTAGCCCTAAAAAAAAAAAAAAAAAAAAAAAAAAAAGAACTATCTTGCATCAAGGCTCATGAGAAGCGTCAGACCTTGTTAGACAATATTTATTATGTTTTGTGGACTCACCTTGAAATAAGGACACCAATAAAACTAAGCAAATTTGAAAATACCTCAGGAGTCCCCTTATAGCTATTGGACAGCTTCTTGTTGATTGGATGATATTTTTTTAAGACCAAGGATGAGAAAAAAATGACATCAATCACAATTAAATAAATGATGTTGATTGTGTTCCCCGACGTTTATTGGTAATCAAGAACTCATGCCTTGCAACACAAAATAGCTGCAGTTATATATCTATTTCACAGAAATTTAATTCTGAAAAAAAACATACACACACAAAGTATCAAGTTGCCAGGGTAGACCTCTTACAAATAAACAAAAATTGTTACTTATCTGACAAAAGGTTCTTTCTTGGCATTAAGCAAGATAGTATGTGCTAACTACCTTTAAAGCAATGATAGTAGATTATTAAAACCGATAACTCTTGGTAATCTACACAGAATGCAGCTTTTAATGGAGAAGCGTATCTCCTTGTAGTAGCTATCGTATTATTCTTTTCGCAGTAGACCTAGTGTGCCATCAATTTTTAAATGTGTCAATATAACCAACGTTAATGATTGCCATGACTCGTACGCTACAAACAAAAACACTAGCAGACGACGCAGATGCTATGTACACTCTCTTTCTCTCTCTCTCTCTTGCTGCTTTTATGGCAAAAAGCTGGTTACCCTACAGACACTAACACCACCTCTGGTCGGTCAAGAGGAAACAATATGCGATGTTGCCATTAAGGGTCACTACCTGGAAAGAATCACTTACACTTGGGTGTACCATATACCTATAACATACATATAGGTATAGTAGCAGCGTAAGAAGAAGGGGGCAAGCAGTGGACATACGAGAGAAAGAGAGACGAAGCAGGAAGAAGTGTGTAAGAGAGGAGATTGAGGAGAGAGTTTGGGCCGTAGGGTGGGTGGCTACGTTTTTTTGTAACGCATTTCCCTTCACGCGGCTGCTGTTGGCCCAACATAAGAAGTTTCACTTCAAAAAACTATTTAGTTTAATAAAAAAGATGAAATAGTTCACGAAGCATTGATTTATTTATTCTTAACACGTTCATCAACACTACTGTGATGCTTTTTATAAAAACCAAAAATTCGATTACACACTACGTGTGCTTTAACTTTTACTTTTTTTTTAACTATATCTTGAAAAAAACGAGTAAAAAATAATTTTCTTTTCTATGCCATGTTTGAATAATTAATATGGAGATGTACAAGATCTTCGAAAAATTTTTGGCACAACATAACCTCTCAAAATTTGAAAAACAGTCTTATCTAGATAGACACAAAATAACCATTTTTGTGGATTCTCAAAAGGGGAACTACATTATCGACGAGCGCAAATAGAAGGGGGTTGGACTATACACAAACATATCCTCGATTTTCTCGTTTTTTGACTGTTTCTTGAGAGGAACGAGTCAAAAAAAATTTTTTTTCCAATGTGGCATGCTTGGAACGTTCATACGTATGTTGACAAAATCTTCGAAGAATTTTTGTTTCAATATGACTTCTCAAATTAGATAAAAAACAGTCGTATCTCGAAAGGGACGCCAGATAGGCCAAAAAGAACGCAACTGCGATGTATTTTATACAAAGCAAAAACTTTTACTACACACTTTAAACATATAATTTAACACGCTTAATAACACGACTATTTATATTTTTGATCAAAGCTTTTTTAATAAAAATTTTTTTTCTACAAAAACTCAGACGTTGCCTTTTTTATACTAGTGTTACTAGTATATTATTGTTTGAATATTAGATTACATTAATTAACATACAAAATACAGAGTTTTATTCACGTACACATCAAAAACCCTACTAAAAATATTTAGGTGACTTGTCATCTTCTTTGTCTGGTCAAAAGTCGTTCCAATTTACCATATGTGTCATGTGGAATTGTCATGTGAAAGTGTTGTGAATTTTTATAAGCTAGATTTTCGGCTATCCAAAAATGAAAAAGTAAAACTTGTACTTCTAACTGCTTAAAAACTGTTAGAATAGCTAATTTAAATAGTAAAAAAAAAAAAAAGCATCCAGTAAAGGGAATTGAACCTGGTCCGGATTATTGGTAGTCGAGTTTCTTTACCACTTGGCCAAAATGGATTAGACACTTGGGACAGAATTTACGTCCTCATCAGGTACATCTAAAACTAACGTTTATTTTGATGTTCATTACGAAAGACACTTTAACCGTGGCGATTTTTTCTACAAATTTTTATTGTATTTTCATTCCCTTACCCCTTTGCTGCATTTTACCATATTTTACCTTCTTTATGCAAGAGAGTTATTTTCTATTAGTTATCCTCAAAATTTTAAAATAACTTTTTTTTTATAACAGATTTTTCTAACACCTTGGGAGATGATACAATTATAGCATCACAATCATCTTGGTTAAATTTGTCTAGTGATCATTAGATGAAAGAACAAATTTACTTATTCATCATTTATGGTCCGCCTCAGTGTATCTGTAATTGTTTTTCTTACAATCAACTTTACATCATGTCATTGCATACGCAGCTTCAATGTCTTCTATTATACGTCCATGTTTATTTTATATGTACGTTGAAATAATCTGAAGTTGAATACTCAAGTCTGTGAGAGTTACTCAAAGTGTTGAATGTATAATTATGTTTTCACCTTTGTTTCATTTTTTATCAAATAACTATGCAGTATTATTTTTTGTTTTTCCTGATCGATTTCTTTTGTCTTTAAAAATTTCTTTAAAGAAACTTTACAAGTCTTAACGAAAGCGTCTTAATTAAATTAAATAAAAATAGCCATACCGTAAATATTACGATTTTAACTCCAATAACGTTTGAGTCCTAGGTATAATTTACTTACTTAAACATTATTGAAAATAACTTTAGAATGAAAATTATTGTGAAGCAATAGAAAACTTTATTACAAAAAATTCTGTGTTCGTTAATACAAACTTGGTTTTTCAATAAAATATAATTTATTCGATTGCCTTTTTTCTATATTGCTGTAATAACTTTTTTTTTTACATTTCTTCTGTATCACTATCCGAATCTTCAGCTAACGACTGGCAAGCTCTTGCTTCTGCTTCCAATTGTATTTCTGAAGGAACTCGTTCATGTTTTCCATCAGTGTGTTTACCTACCCAACTCATTTCTAGTTCAAATTGTTTGTCCTTTAGTTCATCATGGACTAAATATATTATGCGAGCTGCTTCTTTCACTATATCTTTAGAATCCATTGATGCTAGTTTCAATTTCTCAATTTCAGTCTTAGCAGATTGTTTAGCTTTACCTAGAAACATAAAAAATGTGAATGAGAAAAGGTTTTCAAGGTTATTGATAAAATTTTTAAGTTTTAATAGTAAATACATTTGTAAGGTCTTGTTTATCATATTTCCTGGAACTGTGTATTAAAATAAAAATAATAATACACAACTGGTTCTCTATGTATGTATTTAAGGGTTGTAAATGTAACAGCGTGTTAGGAGCATCGAAATGTAATTTTATTAATTTACAGAAAATTAAAGCACAGAAAACAAATAGAAAGTTGTAATAGATTTTGTAAGGTAATGTTTTGTTTTTCTTGTCATCACTATGTTATGATCAATTTCATTGTCATTATTATTATTTTTAAAAATATTAAATCTTTTCTAATACTATCATTATAATTATTGTTATTTATTTATTTTATGATTTTTCTTATTACTAAAAATATTGATTCTAGCTGTTTACGTATTTACATACCTACTGAAAAAAAATCTTACGTGCTTCTACACCTACAGATACACATCTCTTGTGACATATATAAATGTATATTAGTAATCAGTCACAAGTTTTTAAATGATAGGTTTAATTTACTTTTTCATACGCTACACACTCTAACGAGTGGTCAACTGCCAAATGAAATTTATATGCTCAAATAATCATTACGAATGATGTTTGACATTAACGAGGTATTTCGTAAAAAAAAAAAAAAAAAAAAATTTTTCATCTCAGATCAGCAAATCTGTAGTAAATGCTTGCATGGGGTTAGATATTTTTTTTCAACTAAACGATAAAGAGAGATTCATAATAAGTGCTTTACAATTGATTTACTGTTAACAATGATAATTTGAAGTAGTAAGGTGGTTTGCCAGTGGGTTTTTTCACAGTAGTAGCTACTCGATTCGATGTACATATATACATAAAAGCCTTGCGTTCTCGTTCAGCACAGAGTAAAAAAATGTAACGTATGCTATGCTATATAATTATGTAGGTGAAAACTTTCTCACCTCCTAAACTGAGCACGCGGCAAATCAATAAACAGTCAACATCTGAATTAAATATTTCAGTTTCAAAATTTTATCCAGTTTGTGAGACATTTGAGATTACTGGCGAACCATCTTAAGGGAATTCAGTCGCAATTCACTTAACGATAAAAATGTTTCAAAAAAAATATGTGTCGTAAAAAAACATTGTATGGATGTTGTCACCAAATTTAAACACAATCGCGTCTACGGATTTTGAGAAAAAATTTTACGAAGTTTCCCTATTTCGTCGTCTTTAAGATGAGCTCAAATGTAAGTTATTAAAAAAGTTGTAGAAAAATACCTATTATGCTTGACACAGCGATGAGAATGTTTTGAAAAAGTGATATGTTATTTATGACAACTTCATTGATACATGTGCAAAGTTTAAACAAAATCTCGTATGCAGTTATGGAGATATTTGCACAAACGTAAAAAAATTTGTTTCCAGCTCGTATGTTACAATTATGCGTGAGACAAGAACGCACTGAGTACACTGTTTGCCGTCAGGTTGACTTTTTACGTGGCATGATATCTTTTTACAAAATCACTTCTAGAAGCCATTACGCTAAAAATTATGATCTATAATTTGGTATAGGACTTTATGAGACTTTATACTTTATTGCTATACCATTAAAATTTTTAATTTTGAAAATTTATAGCACACTTTTATCAAAAGAAGATCGGATTAACTATACCGTTTATTCCTTATTTTTTTATCTCCCATAGAGAAAGTATTTAGGCTATTTGATTAATACCATGAGAAACTAGATACCTTGAAGAATATTCTGTAATTTTTTTTTAGTATATTATTCTAACATTAACGAGTACTGGCGAGTTGAACACAAATGCATTTTCCGTAATCAAAAGGGCGGATATTTTTAGGCTAGGTTAGTACAACAGACTTTATCACGGTCCTTTATACATATACACGTGCTCCTCTTTACCTTTTCGCGGGAGCGACCCAACTCCCTGAAGCAAAATAAATCTTTAACATAAATTTCTCCAAAGCTAATTCTCTAAATTTCTACAATGATATTCAAAGGAGATTCTATTACACACTGAAAGAATTAATGTGTTTAAGATTTTCATTTTCTTACTTTTACTAGTTTATTGTGATAAGGTTCTTACATCTCTTAGGATAATTAAATACCATTTTAAAAACTTTGAAGCAACCGATGTACAAGATGAGTAAACTTAACTACTGAAAATTAATCAGGACCAGTGAACAACTGATTGTTTTAAGGCTTTGTCTACAAAATCAGAGAGTACAAATTGTTTACCTTCACACTTTTTTTATTGTTAAATGAAAAAACCATGTAATTAACATTATTTACTATAGTTGTTTAAGCAAAAAAATTTGATTTGCAAGTTGGGCAATGGTGAACGTTTATGCTATATTTAAAAGTAAAAATAACTATTTATCTTATGCATTACGAGATGTATCCTTTTTAAGCGAGGAATAGTATGTTACGCACCGTAGGAGAGAAATAGGCCTCGGATTTGCCTCGGACAGCAATACACACTATTTCTCTCCAGAGGTGCGTATACAATTTTTTCTCATGCTGGGGGTAAATGCCGACCCACGCAAACTTGATAAAAGTGATGAATGATTTATACTGCATTGATCGTCTGCTGCGTGCTTTACCCTTTTTTTTCGTCAGAAGTTGGTGCTCGTATAGCTTTTTCGCTTTTCCTTTGTATCAGGAGGAGGGGTTAGTGGCATTACGAGAGCTTGCCCGGTTCGCCGAAACGCCGAGAAAGAAAGAGAGAGCTGCTGCCAGAGATGAGTAGCTGCTGCCATCATTGGTACGTGAATACGTGAAGAGAAAAAGTGAGACTTAACATTTTTTTGTAACAATGGATTCAATTGAAGATTCAGATAGTGCTTCTAACTTTGACGAAGAGCCCATTTTTCGAAATTTCGAAGAAGAAGCGAAAGCAATCAAACATAATCTCTCTGCTTAATCATTTACAGAGTACGAAAAATTTTACAACGGTTTTATTCAATGGTTTAATGAGCAAAAAGGGCATGAACGAAAATCTTTTTTTTGTTTACTTTCTGATTTGTGTAAACAGTATCAACCATTAACGTGTTGGGCTAGATGGTCAATGATGAAAACTACATTGCAATTGAGGCATCAGATCAACTTAGATTAATATCTTAACCTAATAAATCTTCTGAAGAAACATGCTAAGGGATTTAAACCAAAACAATTTAAAGTGTTTACTTGGTCTCAAGTAAAAAGCTTTAAAACAATGCAGATGATCAGATTTATTTAGGAACGAAGGTACTTATAATCGTTTTTTTAATGCATACTGTTAAATATATGTATTTTCTTGTTATTTGTATCTACTACTTTAATTTTTAGGTTCTCCTCATTGTTGGACTTTGCAGTGCGATGAGATGCATTGAATTCACTAACTCAAGTGTATCAGATTTTCAAGTCATCGGAAATCAATACTTGATAGATGTTAAAGACTCAAAAATCGATTACCCACGTAGATTTCATGTTGGCCCAGAATTATACTGCTATGTAAGGAAGTACGCCTTGTTACGACCACAAGAACTCGATACAAATAGATTTTTTCAAACTTTTTAAAAAGGGCATTGTATAAGACAAGCAATGGGCAAAAATAAAATAGCTGAAACGCCTTGATTGATTGTTCTATATTTAAATCAAGAAAATGCTGAAATGCACACAGGCCATGCTTTTAAGCGAACTGCAGTAACTTTATCGTGCCTTTATGATGCCGGTGCTAACGCTGTCGTTTAACGATACATAGATAATTTCATGGTGACTAAAAGGCAGATTTTTAACAGTATTATCAATTAAGTCACGGCAGCAGGTAGAGAAGTGAAAACAACAGAGACAGAATATTTGTGAGGAGCGAAATCAAGGTTCTCTCCTCCCGGATGAGCGGAAGAGAAGTCGGCATGTCCCCTCAGGTGAGAGAAAAAAATCAAAGTTTTTTTATTATTATACTTCGCACTGGAAATGGTTTGTTTATGTCAGTTCCATGATTTTACTTAACAGGAAACTTAGTCTATATATGCATGCATGCGACTGTACTGCATCTTCTGCATCTATGCTTCATTCATAATGACAACAGTCCAAAAAATCTGACGTTTGGTCTTCTGCAGTAAAATTATCTAAATTAAAATCAGCGTCCGAATTAAAAATCATCTTACTAACGATATTGGAAGTAGACGAAGAAACTAAGAAAAAAAAAGTTCAAGTTAGCAGAAAAAAGAAATTTTTAATTCTAAGCTTGAAAATTACTAAGTTTGCAACTTAAACATTTTGTGTCTTCAGAGTGATTTTTAGTTTAATCAAGTTACATAATTATTAATGTAAGTGGCAATCAATTTTATGAAAAAAATATTATTTTGACAAAGACTGAAATAATCAAATTGTGCTTTGATACAATTGAACTACCTTAAAAAAATAAATGGCATAGGGAAAGAAAACAACGATTTTGTAGTTTCAGACATGTCGTATCCGAAAAAATTTAGTTCTTAAAGCGCTGAATATGGAATTCGTCATGAAAAAATAAGCTGTCAAAAATATAAGAAAATGTATAATTGACAAGTTAAGGTGGTTAGTTTGGTTGTGAATCAACATCAACTGTGGCAGTGTGCAAATCCTTACTAATATCTATATCATAGTGAAATTGCGTTAAAAAAAGCCACGTGTACTAAACGCAGTGTCAAGTATTAATGTACGTTAGTGGTTTTACCGTATGTGACTTGTTTACTTATTCTTTATAGTCCTAGAGTCCAGTGGCGTGGACATTGAAAACAAAATTATTAAGTAAGTTGATCACAAAAGCTCTCCAAGACAATATCTGTTACGTTTGATTTTACAAATAGCAGAATTTATAATACAGTTGATTAAATAGAAAATTGATGAAAACGAATTAATTTAAAGTTTTTTTATGAATACATATGTCAACAGCAAAACAGAAAAGTTTAATTATGTTCTACGTTCATTCCACTATTCAG